TGAAACTTGGGTGGAAGCATTCTGGGGTAGTGTAGATTCTAAATTATTGAAATAAAGATGGGGGTTGGGAGGGGGTAGGGGGGCCACAATGTAAGTATAGGGGAAATCTGGTAAAGAACTGCATCACCAAAGTTACTCAGGTGAGCGATGTGGCCCATGGGCCCCTTGTTGACACTTCCTCCTCTTCGTCATAAAAACCAACAAATAAACAGTAATGACTACTCATACTTATATTTATATAGTGAAAGAATGGTTTATTAAAATAGTGTTTCATGAGTAAGTAGCCATAATAATTGAACACATATTAAAATTTTCCCATTTAAACGGTACCGTTTGGTTTACTGCTGTTCGTTTAAACCTTTACAAAATTCGGTTAATGTTTCACCCTTACTTTTCAGTTTGGACTACCATATATACTCGCCTATAAGTTGGTATTTTGGGAGTTAAATATTGGTCTAAAACTCTATGTCCGACTTATAGGCAAGTCATAAAGAGATATTTTTCTGGAGGCTGAAATTTAGTATTTTATTTGCATTTCCGACTATTATCGAAAAAAATGTCTGGATATAATATATGATAATTTATATATTCTTAGATTATGCATATAAAGTACAAGATTTTATATATTTTAAACATTTTATTTGTATTTTTAGTGAGCATTGCCTTTTTATACGCCCGTCTTAATGTTATAGGCTTCGTGTCCGTCCGTCTGTCTGTTAGCTTTTTCGTTTCCGGCTCATAACTTTAATACTACTGGGCCTAGGATTATCAAACTTTGTCATCTGATGCATCTTGGGTAGAAGGTGTGTCGCGCACAAAAAGTAGGTCGCTCTGACCTTTAATTAAGAAGTTATAGCCAAATATGGAAAAATCCTTTCCGGCCCATAACAAGAAAACCATAAGACTTACAATCATCAATCTTGGCCAGTTTATGTATCTTAGGTAGAAGGTGTGTCGCAACCTATTTCAAGGTCACTGTGACCTTTAATTTAAGTGAATTTTTATGTCTCCCCTTCCGAAGGGGAGACATATTGTTTTTGTCGATTTTCTTATTCTTCTTATTCTTCTTATTCTTCTTCTTCTTATTATTCTTCTTCATCCAAATTTTGTCCAGGCTGTAACTCGAATACCCTTTGACCTGAAGACTTCATACTTGGAACATAAATAGATGACCTTAAGGCGGAGTGCACGCCACCAAAATTTTTGACCTTGAACTATTTATAAGGTCAAGGTCAAACTTTTACATTAAAATAGAGTTTTGGAAATAGCTTGAGTACCCTTTGATATAAGGACTTCAAACTTGTAACATAAAAGAAGACATCAAGTACAAGATGTAATGCACCAGAAATTTGACCTTGACCCCTTTTTTCTTCAAGGTCAAATAGAGAAAAAAAACATGATTTGAACATAACTTTAGATACCTTTGACATTAAGACTTCAAACATGGAATATGCAGGGTATACATAATAGAAAGGTGTATGTGGCCAAAATGTTTGACCTTCATCCAATGTTTATATGGTCAAGGTCAAACTTTCACATCAAAATAGAGTTTAGCCCATAGCTTAAATACCCTATGATATTAGGACTTCAAACTTCAAACATAGAAAGAAGATATTAAGTACAAGATGCAGTGCACCAGAACCCTTGACCTTGACCCCTTTCTTTCTTCAAGGTCAAATGGAGAAAAACATGAATTGACCATAACTGGAGATACTTTTGACATTTAGATTTCGAAATGGTAATATGCAGAAGACACATTAAAGAAAGGTGTTTGTGATAAAAATATTTGACCTTGATCTAGTATTATTGGGTCAAGGTCAAACTTTCATATCAAAATAGAGTTTATGCCATAGCTTTAGTACCCTTTGATATTAGGACCTCAAACTTGTGACATAGAAAGAAGACATTAAATACAAGATCTAGTGCACCAGGACTTTGACCTTGACCCCTTTCTTACTTCAAGGTCAAATAGAGAAAAACATGTTTTGACCATAACTTGAGAACCCTTTGACATTTAGACTTCAAACTTGGAACATGCAGAGGACACATAGATGGAGAGTCTATGTGATCAAAATTGTTTACCTTAATCTAATTATTATTGGGACAAGGTCAAACGTTCATATAAAATATATTCTAAGTCATAACTTAAGACCTTTCTTGACATTTTGGATTTTAAACTTGGAACAAGTAAAGACAACATTAAGCCTAAATACATTACATCAAATTATTTGACCTTGATCACTTTCTTCATTCAAGGTTAAATTAAGGAAAAAACAAGATCAGACCATAACTTTAGATCAATTTTAAGACTTAAAAGATGCACTGCATTATTATTTTTGACCTTGATAGTAAAACTGCATTTGAAAATGTTGGTAAAGAAGGGGAGACATGTGTTTTTTGTTAAAAAAACAATACCCACTAGTTTTTTTTAAATGTGTCTTTTTACTATTCATTTACACATCCCAAATAATGTAAGAGTATTGCACTGTCCTTATTAAAAAAATTGTTAAATCAAGAAAATACTTATTTTTTTTAAGCATACACTCGACAGCAATCTATAACAAATATAATGTATGTTAGAGAAATCCTACCTCTCCCATGAGTGTAATTATCAAGCACTGGTCAAGAAGAATTTTGATAACAGAAAATTGCATGTCAAATTAGAGAGAAATTAATGGGTTTTGAGTGCGAGGAGCTAACTGACAGAGCATTGGTGTTATCTATATTGAGTATTGGGCAAATGGGTAAGCCTGTTTGATTAAAAATAGGCTATAGCTCTTGTTGACTAGCTTAAGTTTTAAAATGAATTTGATGAAAAGTAATTAAAACTAATTTGATATTGCATTATAGACTAATCTGAGATTATGTAATATTATCAATTTAAAAACTAATTTTATGGGGTGGGGTGGAATCAGCATGTCCATATGAATTACATATTAAAACCTGTCGGAAATTAAATCTCAACCAAAAAAAAAAAACCTTTGAGTATTTTATATGTTTTTAAAAAAAAATTATAGTAGGTAGTGCAGACCCATTCATCTCTTGGTAGTAATGAGTAGACAAGCATCCAGTTAAAGATTAATTAATGAGTTCAATGTAGGAAGGCTAGATGTCTCAGTCGCTATGATTAAGCAGTCTTATCTGTACCCTTTGGGGATTAGACAGAAGAACTGCTGTTCAGCTAATAACATATGTCATTTGATGGCCAGCCTTTTCTTTTCAAAATTAATTTGGTATAGATTAAGTTGTTAAGACTAATTTGATGATGGGCATTTGACAAGGTCTAACACAACCAGCACAGAAATCTATCAGTGATGTAATATTTATTATAATTGATGCCTACATCACAGGGGATGGATAAATATTTTAAGGAATGGAAAAATCATCGAAATCTTAGAATCAAGGTTGATGTGATTTTCTTGCACCTAAACTGTTCAAGAAAATTGTAATTTTTTTTGATTGGCGTATCATGCTGTGGCGCAGCACTTTATTAAAAATATTTAAGATTAAATTTTAGTGTCATTTCGAAAAATATTAATTGAAACCAGGTTAAAACATCAATTGATTTACTTGAAATTGGCATCCGATTTTGGCAAAAAATGTACCGACTTATAAGCGGGTCAATAGCAAATCCCACCAAAATAACGTGAAAAAATACAACCAACTTATAGGCGGACCAACTTATAGGCGAGTATATACGGTAATTATATATACAGTGTACTGTGGAGCCTCATTTATCCGGACGCTTTGGTTCCCCGTCAATTTGTCCGGATATGTGAAGCGTCCGGATACCTGAATCACCAGTTAAACAAGACATAATAACATTTTGAAATTCTGTTCCGATGAAAAAGCGTCCGGATACTGAAGCATCCGGATATCTGGCGTCCGGATATCTGAAGGTCCACTGTATATTAAAATCTAGGTTTATGGTGAACTAATTATACCTCACTCTGAAGAGCGGGTATACTGTTTTACCCTTGTGTGTCTGTCTGTCCATAATAAATTTTCTCAGCAACTACTCATCGCAGATGCTTGAAATTTTAATACAATTTTTTCTGAGGCATGCCATATGGTGAGATACATTTTTAGCTCACCTGAGCTGAAAGTTCATGTGAGCTTTTCTGATCACATTTTGTCCGTCTGTCTCTCTGTCTAGCTGTCTGTCCATCTGTAAACTTTTCACATTTTTGACTTCTTCTCAAGAACCGCTAGGCCAATTTCAACCAAACTTGCCACAAAGCATCCTTGAGTGAAGGGGATTCAAGTTTATTCAAATGAAGGGCCTTGCCCTCATTCAAGGGGAGATAATTGGGAATTGATGAAAATTTGGTGGTTTGTTTTAAAAATCTTCTTCTCAAGAACTACTGTGCCAGGAAAGATGAAACTTATGGGAAAATATCCTCAGGTAGTGTAGAATCAAATTTGTTCAAATCATGACCCCCGGGGGTAGGGCGGGGCCACAAAGGCCAACCAAAGTTTTACATAGAAATATATAGGAAAATTCTTTAAAAATCATCTTCTCAAGAATAGGAAAGCCATAATTGATCATATTTATATGGAAGCATCCCCAGGTAGTGTAGATTCAAGTTTGTTGAAATCATGACCCCCCAGGGGTAGGGCAGGGCCATAATGGCCGACCAAAGTTTTACATAGTGTTTACAAAGTGTCTGTCCGTTTCATGCATAACAAATTTTTGTCGCAGTTTCCTCAGCAATTACTTATTGCAGATGTTTGAAATTTTAACACAATCTTCTCAGAGGCATGTTAATGGTGGGTATTATTTTTGTTCAAATACAATGTCAACCTTTTGTTCATCCATGTGTCTGTCCGTTTCATACATAACAAATTTTCGTCACAGTTTTCTGATGTCAGCTTAATGTTTATCCATGCATCTGCCCATAACTAAGCTTGACGTATACATTAATATAATAGTGTATATTCACATCAGAGTTGGGGTATTACTGGTGAGCATTGGCTCACAGACTTCTTGTTCTTTTCAGATGACAAGTTGCTGAAGTCTTTACTGTCCAATTTGAAGAAAAGTGTATCCTCTTTCACTGTGTTTGGATTTGCCCACTACTTTTCAAGGACACTAGACATTGTGAGTAAACATGAACTTAACCAAACAATTGTTCCATTTTTCACCTACCCTATGGTACCAAAGAACTATTCCATCCCAGAATACAAGGTTAAGAGGATTCTGTCAGCTGGAAGGATACCAAGACAGGATGTGTATAAGTCATATCAGGACACTGTGTGTAAGCCAGTACCACAGACGCACAAGAAATCCAGATGGGATAGTTCAGACATAGAATGGGTACCTTCAGATGACGACATGGACTCATCCTTCTGTAACTCGGAATTTGAAGGAAAGGATTCAGATCCTGCTAGTGATGAAGACTCTTCACTGAATTCGGTATCTGAGAAATTGATTACTAACATTAAAGAACCATTAAAGGATGTATCCAATTACAACAGCCCAGTCAAACCCTCTAAAAAGGGCCAGAAGACTCATAGAAATTGTTTGGGAGAATTGGAAGACCAAGGAAAAAAAGCAGCATTTGAGCATAAGGAGAATTACATTAGCTGGAAAGATCAGGACCATTATGACTTTGGATACTCATCACCTCCCAAAGATAAACAGTCAGTTAACTCAATGAGAGATACATATTCTGATTACTCAGATTACTCTGTCTCTCCCATAAACTGGAAAAGATGTGAAGACAGTCCTCCAAGAAGCAGAAAAGAAGATGCAAGAGCAAATGAAAGGAAAGCAATGAGAAATCTGTATTCTGATTACTCAGATTATTCTCTCTCTCCCATAATCAGGAAAAGATGTGAAGACAGTCCTCCAAGAAGCAGAAAAGATGATGGAAGAGAAAATAAAAGGAAATTGAAGAAAGCACTGAGAGATCTGTATGTTGATGAATCAGATTATTCAGTTTCTCCCACTGTCAAGAAAAGATATGAAGACAGCCCTCCAAGGTATAGAAATGATGATTTCAGAGGAAAAGACAAATTGAAAACATCACTGAGAGATCTGTATGTTGATGAATCAAGTTATTCACTTTCTCCCATCGTCAAAAAAAGATATGAAAACAGCCCTGCAAGATGCATAGAAAAAGACATTGGGCAAAAAGACAAGAAAGAGAAAAGAAAACAAAGAGACAACAACCTAGTAAGTTACAGAAAAGATATCTTCAGTGCAAAGAACAAGAAATTGAAAACATCAGAAGATCCAAAAGAAGAGAATTTTAGTTCTGACAGTGCACATAGGAGAAAAGAACCTTGCGAAAGATGGACAAACATGTCTGGCAGAAAGGAAAAAAGCAACAATGCAATGGAAACTTGGGGAGAACTTTATCATGATGAAAATATCTACTCTCATCCAGCAAAACCCAATGAAAGAAACAAAGGGATTCCTTTAAAGCTGAAGAAATTGTCTGGTAGCACACATCATAAGAGTGCAGATGCAGAGAAACAACAGTCAAGAGCAAAGATGATGAAGGCTTTTTCTGATGATTCAAATTCTCTGCCAGATCTAGATGATCAGAGTGTACCTACCGACAATAAGCAATGTTGGAAGGATTCTATGGATAATGGTCAAGAGGTTGAGGAAGATGATTATTATGCCAGGCGAGTTGGATTTAGGTCTTTTAATGACACTGCAAGTGATGTGGAAAGTCTCTGCTCCTCAGAATACAATGGTGGCGAGGCATCTGTGAAGCACCTTATTTCATGTGAAGATGATGAGTTTTCTATTTTGGAGAAAAGCAGGTTTGTTATGGACAAAAAACAGAAACATGATACAGATTATAAGAGAAATATACAAGAAGACAAATCAGTCTCTGGAAAAACATTCAGAATGTGTCATGAGACCAAAGCCAAAAGCAAAGAAAATCTAAGAGAAAACTCTGAATTCTTGAACGATGATATGAGTTGTTCTTCTCAGGCAACCAAGCAAAAAAAACGTAAAGATTGTAAAGAAGATGTCTATGGAAGTCCAGCGAAGAAGTCAAGGCTCATTTCATCTCCAAGAAGCAGAGGCCTAGAAAATGAAGTGATTAAGAAAAGTCTGTGTGATGAAAGCTTTCATTGTGCTACTCCATACAGAACTCCAGAAATCGCCAAGCCTAACAACAGAGATGTAGGACGAGAGATTCTTCCATCCAGCCCACAAAACCCTGGGAAGACGCCCTCCAAGTCTAGGAACCAAGACATTCGCAAATTTTTCCAAGGTTGTTGTTAACACTTGAGTCCTTTATCTGAATGTTGTGATTTTTGCCCTAGTCAGCAATGGAAGTGCCAACTTTCTCAGTGTTATAATTCTTATTACAGTTCAAATGTTCATTACCTTTTCTTGGAGGAAATGCAAATTATAGTTTTCTAAGTATTAGATTTTGTGTTTCTTTGACATGTATTATTTTAAAAGGCACAGTTGGTAAATCTTGCCACAAAAAACTTTGAAAATATGTAGGAAGTTTTATGGTTTTAGACAATTAATGTAAAAGTTAGTGTTGATCAGTGTTGAAAAAGGCCAAGGTACATGAAATATGTGAATAACATTGAATATTCTTAAGGTACAATATTCTTTTTCTTATAGTTAAAAAGTTATAACTTAAAATAATATATTTTTGTGAAGTAACTTTTTACTCATTTATGTTGACTGAAATGCAGGGAGCATTTTTAGCTCAAGAAACATCAGGCTTAAGGGAGTTTGATTGAAGCTTGAATTATTCCTGTTCTTCTCTATCATTATAATTCATTTTAATATGCTATTTTACATTTGAGGGGCAAAATGGATAAGAATTGCAACATTTTTCTTTCCATTATGTATTCAATGAAGATTTAATTTGAAAATCAATCTCTGGGTCAATATTTGAGTGAGATCAAAATAAAAAATTAAAACACCTTGAATATATAAGGAGGCAAGAAGTAAAGTTATACAAGATCCCCAGAGTGCAAAGCTGCTCAAATTATTCGTACTTTATTCATCAAGCATGATATTTAAGCAAGTCAATAATACCAAGCCCTTCCAAAATTTACTTCACTCTTTCCAGTAATATACAGAAACTTATTATTATATACATGTACCTCAGGTTTATGTATAGAAAAATCCACAGTAGTCATCATCTATAGAGGGGAAGGAACTGCAACAATTCAATATGCTAGCTTTTTAATTATGTTCTTCAAATCATGATCCCCAGTGCTCGTATGTTGCTGTAGAACGTTTGTAAAGAGTTTGTATAACGGAGTTAAATATTCCTTTGCAGTGTATATTCAAAAATTTCAAAGTGGTATGCAAATTATAGTTTAAGTTGAGGTTTGAAGAAATTCTCTCATTTCTTTCTATGGAATATTAAATTTACAAATTATTACAGTAAAGTGCAAGGAATTAATTGAAAGAAAGCAAATTGGTCGAAGTGTTAATTTGTGGGTTGCATGAAGTCACAAAAGGGTTACAAACGTTCTGACAGAATTGTATAGACTACCCTAGAATTCATGATGACCTCTGACCATGAACTGAGAACAGACTTGAGTCAAAAATTTCAAATCACTGTAACTTTCGAAATAATTTGATAACGAAACAAATTTTTGCCATATATTTAAATTAGAATATGATGCAAAACTGAATTTTTTAATATTAACATATGAACAGTACAGACCTGTTACAATAAAATACCTACTGCAAAATTTTAAGCACAATCATTCAATAAAGCTCAAAAAAATAAAAATCAAAATTTTGACTTAAGTCTGTTCCCGGTTTATGGTCTTGGGGCTGGTCAACCATTGCAATCTAAGGTTCCTGTTTTAAGTTTTAAATTTTACTCTCTTTTTAATTGGAGAGGTACGTGTATTGTTTCATGGAGTGTTGAATTTTAGGTTTGATAAGTTTTACAAGTACATGTAGAGACATTAGAAGTTATTTAGTAGTTGTAAAAGTAATAGTAAAGCATGCATCATTATGGTAGTGCTATTAATAGTGTTTAGTGCTAGTATTATTTTGAAATGAAGAAACACCTAATTATTTGAAGACCTTTATTTTGTTTTAAACGAATAAATTCAGGGGAAAGTAGAGGAAGATTAAATGCCTACAGCTTTTTGATAGACTGAATATCAATTTTGATATACAGTATTAAAGAAAAAAAAGTGAATAACATGAAACGAACAAAGAGTATTTTGGGGTGAAGAGAGTCATGTAAATAAGATTTTTTTGTTTCCTTTTTGTAATCAGTAGTGCATGTGTTACAGTAGTGCTTTTCAGATTGTTTTAGTATTAGTATTATTCTGAAGAAAGTGTGAAGTCCTTAATTTTCTAAATACATGTACGTTAATACCATTATGTTAAAGGCAGAGATTTTTTACCGGGTGGTAAATTCCAGGTGAGGGAGGGGCTTATTCTGCACAGGTGTGAATGCCTTGGGGGCTAGCAGTCTACCTGTGGCCATCTGTCTCCTAATCCCTATACACAGAAAGTGATTTAATACACAGTGAAATACCCAGATGTCAAATTTTACCTGTGTTGGGGATTTTGAGAAAATTTTTAAATTAGTAGTAAAAAGGTTTTTCAATTATTTGTTTATTTTTGACTGTTTGAATACACCCCTACCCATGAAATTATTATGATTACATACTATAAATTCAAATATTAAAACAAAGATTATTTAAGATGTTAGTGTATGTGTTAATTAAAAAAAAAAAATCCTGTGACAACCAAATTAGACTTTAATAATTCATTCATCCCCAGAATCCCATCTATTAATTAAATGAAAAAGGAGACATGTTAACTACATTTCACTAAAAAAGAATTTCTGGGATTTTCAAAACCTTAATAAGGCTTTGTCACCATGAAACATGCTAAAAAAAAAGAATGCTTGTAAATTCTTATCTGAATAAAAAAGGAAAATATAAGTGACCCATGATTAGAAACATTATTTTTAAATTTAATTACATCACACAGTGCTGCTCTGAACCTTATCAATAACATTTCCAATCTAGGTTTACTGTTTAGCATATTAAAATTAATATTCAAATTTCATTTGAAAAAAGAAGGTTTTATGTATCAAAGGATTTTTTAAAAAAAAATGCTTATTATATTATAATCCTTTTAAATACTAAAGATATTTTAAATTCATATATTATCAATCTAAAATTACATAGCAATACAGTTTCTGTATACCATGTTCAGTAAACATCAAAGGATCAAAAGTTAATTAGAAGGTCAAAACGAGTCCCAAACAAGGTGTACAGGGTATACACAGGGACCAGTAAGTAAATGTCAATCAAGTTCCAGCAACCAATGATGGACCTTCACACACTTGATTGACAGGGCTACCCAGACCAGGTATGTTTGAAGGCGGTGCTTAAAATCTCTGCCTTTAAATTTATAAAATGATTTTGGTATTGGGAGAAAATTTAACACCATTTGACCTTCAGAGGCACAAATGAAAACTTGTTTTTATTCTATTTTTCACTCTTTTATGAAGTTTTTTTTTACATTAATAAATTATAGAGATTTCACAATTGATGGGAGCTTTTTGTTCAAATTTGATATGTTCATTGGCACTCAACTTCACTGTCAGTATTAAATGTATGTAAACAAATCTAGTGAGTTGAGTTATTCCAAGTATTGTGCAAGTTGTATAGAACAGATATATTAAGGTCAGACAATATGTTTCTCAATTCGTGTAGTGTAGCTACTTTTATGTTTTCATTCAAAAAATTGAGGCCAGTATCATTAATTTGATGTACATGTGTACTTATTTTTTAAAAACACTTTGAAAATTAACAGTTCAAATTCAAAAGAGAAGGAAAATTTTGAGTAATTTTTGACATATTACATGGAGATACAAAAAAGATATTTTATAAAAGTCTGGTTATTGTCAATGATTAAAAAAAGGGTTTAATGTAAATGGTAATTGTGCTTTTGATCCAAGTAATCACTGAATGATCTGATTTATTTAATAAAAGATTTTTCTTCCCTGTTCCAAACTTTTTTTTAGCTTACCTGAGTAATCTCAAGTGATCTTTTCTGATAACCTGGCGTCCATCCGTCTTAATTTTAATCTTTTTAAATTCGACTTTTAATCATAGAGTGAATTAAAATTTTGTTTCCTTGAGCTAAGGACATTTTTTTTAACTTAAGTATTAGGGAAAGAGCATGGGTACATTTGATTGACATGAGGCATTGTAATTAGCGGTCATTAAAAAAAAAAGTCGATGTTTGACCCGGAATTGCAATGTAAAAATTGTCAATGAGATGTTGGACCGCCTGCGTCACACAATGAACGGGATCAGCTAAATCAGCAAAGACTATAAAATATGAACGTTTTCCAAAAACGCCCTATTGTGGAAATATAATCTTTGTTATAACAAGAGATGTTTGTAAATCATCTATCCCCCCCCCCTTCCCCCAAATGATGGGAATTTTTCAAAGTCCAAGGGGCATAACTCTCTCCAAAATGCTTGATCATACCCAAAACAGAACTTGACCTTGATATTCTTGTGATAAATCTGTGTACCAAATTGCATTTCAATAAAAGCAACCTCTGCAAAGAAATTGAACGGAAACTGCTAATAATTTGATTTTTTTCAAGTCCAAGGGGCATATAACTCTGTCCTAAATGGCTCGATCATACCCAGAACAGAACTTGATCTAGATATTAAATTCTTATGATAATTCTGTATACCAAATTTCATTTCAATATAACCAACCTCTGCAAAGAAAACTAGAGGTACTGTGAGCAATGACTGAATGAGCTCACTAAATGATACCCCCGACTCCCAGATGAATATAATGGCAGTGTCCATGTTTTGCTATGGGATACCTAAATTATGAAGTAAAATAGGTGTTTCACAATGGCAATATGTAACAGATTCTGTGAAAGTCTCGTCAAATTTCATTCAGTGGTGTGAGAGGAGTTGCGGATAAGAGATGGGTACCCCAAAGAGCAACAGACGGACAGACGTACTGAGAGACGGACGGACATCCTGATTACTATATACCCTCTTTTCAAGCGGGGGTGTAATGAACGGAAGCTGCAAATAATTGGAATTTTTCAAAGTCCAAGGGGCAAAACTCTGTCCTAAATGGTTCTATTGTTCCCAAAATAGAACTTGACCTAGATATTCTTATGATAATTATGTTAACCAAATTTCATTTCAATATGTGCAACCCCTGCAAAGAAATTGAACGGAAACTGATGGTGGACCGACAGAGAGCAGCGAAGCCCTCCCTACAGACAGCAGCAAAGCAATATGCCCTCCCTTCTTCAAAGGGGGCATAAAAATTCATGTTGTGTAGCGATAACAGCTCCGTCCTAAGCTCTCAGGAATTGGAGGAGAATTTGGTTCGATCCTCGCATAGAGTCTTTATTATAGTGATTGGGATGTCTGTATGTACGTCCGTCTGTTACGCTTTGAGGTACCCATCTCTTATCTGCGACTCCTCTTCTACCATTGTATGGCATGTAATGAGACTTTCACAGAATTGTTACATAGTGCCATTGTGCACCTCCTATACCCCCCTTTTCGAAGAAGGGAGGGCATATTGCTTTGCTGCTGTCTGTCGGTCGGTTTGTAAGATCGGACCATTTCAGACAGCGTTATGCCCCTTGGACTCGGATAAATTCCAATTATTTGCAGTTTCCTTTCATTTTCTTTGCTGAGGTTGCACATATTGCAATGAAATTTCGTATATAGATTTATCATAAGAATATCTAGGTCAAGTTCTGTTTCGGATACGATCGGACCATTTCAGACAGAGTTATGCCTGGACGTGGAAGAAGAGGCATGGTCACCCGTAGACAAGAAAGAGTAATAAAGAACCCAGCGTTGCAAGACAGGAGATTCGCAATAAGAGAACTGAGGACAAGATTGTAAAATCAACCAGGATATCCGTAAAAGAAACGACTACAAGAAAAAAGTTTTTAAATTATGGAATTAGATATTCGTTCTCTCTAAAGAGCCATTACTCAAAAGATCAGAAACAAAGAGGTTTGTAATGGGCAAGATATCACAAACGCATGACGGGAAAGATTTGGAAAGTATTTTGTTCTCAGACGAAAGTTTATTCAAGTCTTACAATGACAGGAAAAATCGTCGAGTTTGGAGAAGAAAAGCTAAAATGTAAAAGAATACGCACTCTCCTCTGGCCAGGTAACAGTCCGGACCTCAATTCAATCGAAACCATTTGGGCTAAAATGAAAAGAGAACTGTCCAAGAAATTCCCTCTTAGAAGAATGTGGAACAAATACAATAACTTTCCTTCTCGGTAACAAAAGAATTTTTGCACCTACCTTGTACATAGCATGCCTGACAGAATAAAGCAGCGAAAAAGGCAAAGGGTGGTGCTACAAGATGTTAATTGTGTATTATATTTATCATCAAATTAGAGAATAAAAAAATTGATTTTTTTTTCAAAGTCCGTTTTAAAATTGTCCTTTTTTATAAATGAAGTTTTTACCAATGTGGCCTTATTTTGTGCGGAAAATCATATGAGCTTAAGGACCCTCTCTCTACACAAGTGCAAATTTTTTTTGGACATTGAGAAAAATATATTGTATAAAGGAGTTAATATTTTGCTTATTTATTCAGTTTTCACCATATGGTGCGTGGCATTTACCCCTGGGAAAAATGTTCAAAGACAACACAGTATCAGTGAATAGAAATCACTGTTAATTACTTCAGTTAAGAAAATACATGTAAATAACACGTTCAGTTAATTTATCCTGGCCTTTTAAAATGACAAAAATTATTTTTGAAATTACTAATTGAGTAATACATTGTATATTTCTATTTTTAGATATTAGATCTAAGGGCAGAGCACTCTAACTGCAGAAAAATACCTTAGAATCAGCACTCTTTAGTGTGCAGTGTAGAGAGGATTCTTAAAAAAATTTCCACGACATTCCCAACCGAAGCAGTATACCTCTTCTTTCATGACATGATTTTAACCAGAATCAACAGTCGGAAGTTCTCAATACAATTTTAAAGCAAACTGACTTTCAAATCCATTTTTAATCAAATATTCACAAAAAATGTCACTTTTATTTATTAATTGACAAAATTGAAAATAAGAATGGAAATTATCCTACAGATAAAGTTTAATATTTGATATTTCCGGACATTATTTATAATGAAATATATTTATATATATATACACCTACATTTGAACTGATTAACAATACAATACCCATTCAGAACGATAGAAAATTAGCAAAGACTCTTTTCTTTTATAATTAAATTTTACCAATTCTGACACAGTTTTTAAACAGTGCTTCCTAATTGTAACCATTAGATCTATCAGGCCAGGCACACAATCACTGACATCACTGAAATTCGA